TGTCTAGACAGCAATGTTATTTTGGAATAACTGGCATTATTCCAAAATAACAGAGAGCGTGTCTATACAGCAAGCAATTATTTAGAAATAATGTTGAGCTGGAGGGCTTCTTACTCTGACTTTTGTAACCCTCATTTTACAAGGAGTAAGGGAAGTCGAAGGGAGAGTGTTCTTCCTTCAACTTCCTGCTGTGTAGACAGCACCAAAAGCCAAATTAAGCTATTTCGACTTCAGCTACGCAATTGACATAGCTCAAGTTGTGCAGCTTAATTCGACTTTTGCCCTGCTGTGTAGACATACCCCAGAGAGGAGGACAGATCTGGGTTACCTTTTATATTTCCCTTAGGTTTTGGTTTATATTGAAATCCCATATTTCAACTGATACAGCAAAGTAATGATGCATTGTAGTTCTGTCGGATGACAGTGAATAAAGTCAAACAATATATTGGTTACTCGCCATTAATTCTACTAATTTGGTCTCAAAAACTGAAGTAAGAATTTGAATAATAATTAGATTCTAAAATTCAGTTCCGAAAAGCAAAGGTTTGAGGTCCTATCAAAAGGACACACACACACACACCCCTCCCCTCCATTCAGAAGAACTTAACACTTCACACACACACATACATACCTCTTCCCCCCATTCAGAAAAACTTAACACTTCACACCAAATACTGGGCCAGCATTTCCCAAATACCTCATCCTTCCGCTCCTGTAACCAGTTCCTAAGAATTCCAGATAATCAGTGCATTGTGGTGAGGACAGAGAAAGTGGTAAATTCTGAGATAACTGATTCTTGTTAACAGTAACTTCAGATAACTGATCTGTCAACAGTAACTTCGGAAAACAATCCTTTTTAAATGGCAGTTTTGGCTTACTAAAGTTTCTAAACATGCATCAATGTTAGGCAATATTTGATGATAATATTCATTTTCCTCTATCCCTATTAATGCTGTTTTTATTTTCTCTTCTTCAAAGCTCACATAATTAGGGCCCTATCCTACAAGCTACTAAGCATCATCTGTGATGAACTGAGTGCCATCAATGCTCTCTGGATTTCACAGAAAGGAAAGACATTTACCACTTTTCAGGATTGGCTCAAAGGCCACTATTTGTTCTTCTCAGGCTGACTAAACAATGTTCTTAGTAGCACCATGTACATGAAGGTAGGCTCTAGCTCAAGCTTTAATTTCTCTGTGAAACACACAAAGAACAAAAGTTTCTATAACCCTAAGAATTTCTACAGAAGGTAAAATTCCTTTAAGATCCAGTGGATCTGTCATATGGGTCCTGTTCAGGCACTTGTATGGGGAAGGAAGAACATCAGCAGCACCAGAAGTAGTAGAAATCAAAAGATGATATATTATGTTTTGGAGCAATTTGGGTGAATGGTACCATTTGTAAAGGAGCACCAGGGCGCAACTTTGTAACTGGGAGAAGAAAGTCAAGCTGAGATACTTCAATTGGTGCCTGGCAGGATTGAACAACTGTTGAGAAAATAATGGATCAGATTGCTCTAGAGATACCAAAGTTTGAGGGGAAGAATTGGCTGTTCCAGACAACATACTTATCCCTAGCTTTCCTGCAGGTTAATAATCTGAACATAAGAACATAAGAACGGCTGGACTGGGTCAGACCAAAGGTCCATCTAGCCCAGTATCCTGTCTGCCTGCCAACAGTGGCCAGCACCAGGTGCCCCAGAGAGGGTGGACCGAAGACAATGATCAAGCGATTTGTCTCCTGCCATCCCTGTCCAGCCTCTGACAAACAGAGGTCAAGGACACCAATGGGCTAAACAATGGGAAAACGGATGACACATTCATGAAAGTCTGTAACCAATAATGACATCACTACCACTTAATACATTAAAAGGTCACAATATGAAAACCTTTCCACTGACAAACAATGATGTAAAATAATTATAATTGTGTATCTGTATTTTGAAGCTAACCAAATGTTGTAGCTGGATAGAATGATTTTTTGTTTATTTTGCACAAAATTACTAACATCACTGGAAAAAGCTCAGTGTTGCAGAAGTAGACACTATAGATGGAAGAGACCAGTTAGCTCAAGCAGTCTGTTTCCCTGCAAATATAAAATATAGCACAGTACTCCGTGGATTACATAAATTCTATTTCGGGAAGTAAAGAAAATGTCATTAGAGATACTAACTGAATTGAAATTCCATTAAAAACATTTCAGGTTACTGTACAGTTCCTTATTAATCTTGAAGATACAATATGTATCAGGCTAAGTTCTTAGTGAAACACAATGAGAATTTGAAAATGCACTAGACAGAACAATGTCTTTCCCCAGAAAATAGGCTTATTCTTTGGTTTGGTGTTTCCGGAACCCAAAGAAAATAAACTAGCAAAAACCTGTGGACAAGAATACAAACTGATCATTCCAGAAAGCAGTAATGCAGTATTTTTGCCACTGATCTGCATTATTATTGCATACAGGTGTCGGTAACTACTATTTCCTTGCATTCATCAGTTTTCATCAAAGCAGTGTTCAGTATCATCATTCATTTTAGAGATTTAAATGACTTATTAAAACTCCCTTTGATTCCTCTCCCAGCTTTTGACACAGACTCTAGAGGCGATCCTGGCAATTACAGACTGGTAAGTCTAACTTCAGTTATTTAGTTGAAACACTAGTAAAGAATAAATTGTCAGGCATGTAGAAGAACATAATTTGTTGGACAAAAGTCAACATGGTTTCTGTAAAGGGAAATCATGTCTTACTAATCTATTAGAGTTCTTTGAAGGGGTTGTTACCCTAGAAAAGGGGGCTATATTATAGTTTGGTTCAGTGGGTTCCATTTTGAAAGAGACAGTTCCTTTTCTCCACATGATGGAGGTTTTCCCACTCAAACTGTTAATTTGCACACGGTACTACCTTGTGCACCCCTCTCAAACAGGCTGTGCACCCGTTACTATCTGGTGCACTCAGCACCAAAAGAGGTGCACTCAGCACCAAAACCGCTGCACACAGCCCCTAGGAAGCTGCACTCAACACCTAGGTTCATTAGCATACTTTCCCCGCCTCTGGGCCAATAAAAGCCCTGAGGTATCAAGGGCTCGGGTCCTTGGATATTCCCCAGCCTTGGATCTACTCATTGTTGCTCCTCTGTATTGTTTGCCTGAAGCTTGGATACTATCTATGTAATCAGAGGCCTGGACTTTTGAACTGTGCTACCCTTGTGTGGTAAATTCCCACAAGGTTTTCCTGTTTGCATTGGTCACTGGAACCGGGACTCTCTTTTCCTGTCATCTTCATTGGATTACCCACCTACTGGATCAGACGGTGTTGTCGAAGGATGGATCAGACTGTGTCCAGAGGGGATTCCTTTCCAGATCGAGGATCCATATCGGGGTTGTCTCTTCACAGAGGACTCCCTGCTTGTCCTCCCCAGAGGCTTACAAATAGCCCGAGGGTTGAAGGTCGCAGGCATCGATCGCCTCAGGCTTTGTATACACCGTATGTATCTAGGGGACTGTTCTATCTCCTTTCTTTGGGTTAGGGAGGGTTGGTTTATTGAAACTTGCTGTTAACTGGATATATGTTCCACTATTCTACTCAAATACATGGTTTGGCCCTAAATTGTGTATGCCTGATTTGTGGCTAGAGATCCACCGGTGATTAGATACGGCTCTCAGGT